CAGATCAAAGTCGGGCAGCGAAGGAAAAAGGCACTGCCGATCACCAAATTCTCATTCACCCTTAAATATCAAATTCCATTTCACAAATTGACCAGAATGATCCTCACGATAATAACCTTAGCATGACTATCGTCATGCGTCAGGTTATTATTCTCGCTCGGATCAATTCAATTTTATTTAATCGAAGAAGATATACTATGGGAGCAAAAAGAGAATCGTGAGAAGATGATATATATGTATTCCTATTTTTCTCATTTGATATTCTTTATCTGTATACATATCTTGTCTTTCAGCTTAGTTTTTTTTTTTTTTTTTTTTGGCGATAAATATCACATGAATTTGTGATAAGTCTTTTCTCCTATGTCCTATCAAGGCAGATGTGTTATCTGGTTCGATTTCTAATAATTCATTTAAATTCACAAGTGATTCTTTATATATTCATCATATGATAAGCATCGCCACGAATTCTTAATGCAAATATATTATTAGTTCACTTTCTAATGATTTATTCAAATCTATAATTGATCTTCCATATCTTTTCATTATACGATAAGTGTCGCCTGAATTCTTGATGCTTCTGTTTTTTTTTTTTTTTTTTTTTTCATATGATAAGCCTCGCTATGAGTTCTTTATTTATTCAAATCTGTGATTTTTCATATCTTCTAATTATGCGATAAATGTCATCTGAATTCTTAATGCAATTGCATTATTTGCTTCGATTCCTAATGATTCATTTAAAGTTGCAAGTGATTCTTCATATCTATTAATCATACGATAAGCATCGCCACGAATTTTTTAATGTAAATGCATTAGTTAGTCCAATTTCCAATGATTTATTCGAATCTACATGTGATTCATCATATCTATTCATCAAGTGATAAGTTTCTTCACGACTTCTTAATGCAAGTGCATTGTTTGGTTTAATTTCTAATGGTTGATTTAATTCTGCAAGTGACTTCTCATCTATTTATCATGCGCTAAATTTCTCCACGACTTCTTACTGCCAATGCATTGCTTGATTCAATTTCTAATGAATACATAAACTTGCAAGTGATTCTTCATATCTGTAATTTCCCATGAATTCTTAGTGTTTCTGCATTATTTGGATCAATTTCTAATGATTTATTCAAATCTGCAAGTGATACTTCATATTTATTCATCATGCAATAAGTATCTCCACAGATTTTTAATGCTTCTGCATTATTTGGTTCAATTTCTAATGATTTTTCCAATCCACGAGTGATTCTTCATATCTTTTCATCATACGATAAGTATCTCCACGAATTCTTAAATGCATCATTTGGTTCAATTTCTAATGCTTCATTTAAATCTGCAAGTGGTCTTTATATCTATTCACCATATGATAAGTGTCGCCATAAGTTCTAACATAAATGCATTAGTAAATGCATCAATATTCTCGCTCGAATCTGTTATTTCAGTAATTATCCTCCAAGTGTCGCTTGTCTGTCTTTCTTGGAGAAAGATCCATTTGGGGACCATCGTTTGCGAGGCTTAAGGATCTTAATTTCGATGCTTGGTTTATAGAGAGTAGCTTCAGTCCTTGGATAAGACCTGCTTTTTATCTTTGTTTGATAGCTTAAGATTTCTGCGAATGTTCTCAAGATCACTCTTTAATAAATTTGGGTTCTATCCCCCTTTTTTTTTTTTTTTTTTTTTTTTGGAAGGTTTTTAAGACCCACGCATGATATGGTGTATTCAACTTGCTACTCATGATAATGCACAGGGTATAAGGTGCAATGGGTACAATGGGTAAACATGGTGGAAGAGTGGGCTTTCATAATTTACACCAACATGCATTTTATAATCTCCAAAACCCAAGAAGTAGTTAAAACCCTAACTGGCAATGATAAAGAAAAGGAATTGTTGACTTCTCCATTGCATGCATCTTCATAATCTCTATCGCATGCAGTCACATGCATATCCATCATTTAGAAAGTGACAAACATGATTGTCACCTTGTCAAAAGTGTAACCACTGCGAAGAGAGTTGCAAGTTTTTTATATTTTCGCCATATACCGTTCAACAAGATTGCTCTGTATACGGAACCAAATCCTCCTTTACCAACTTCTTCAACAACAAATAATCTAACAACTGAAATCCATTCAATCACATCTTCCTAATTCCAGGTTCTAAGTTGGAACGATTTAATGCAATTGTCAATATTCTTATTTCCACTTGTCCATCTTGTTGCTTTATCAGGGTCACATGATAGACACTATGCAGGTTGAGTGTTATTTTCGTTATAATGTACACATTTCCCATATCCAGGCAGTTTTCTAAATTCCCATTGAATTACTGCATCAGATAATATGTAAACGCTTTAAGCTTATTGATTTTGACTCCAATTCCTAAATAATAACAATATCCAACTGATGGATCGAAAGTACGAGCCAACGCTATAGTGTGGCGTATTCTACTTTCAAGAAAAATTCTCTTTCTTTTTTTTTTTTTTTTTTTGCGAGTTCGGGCCCACGCTATGGTATGGCGCATTCAACTCCTTTTTTCTTGTCAGCAAGCCATTCAATGTAATTATCAACATCCTTACAATATTTCCGCTCATCCATCATATACTTATCCGTTGCATTGTTTTTAGTCAGTCCAATTACTTTAATTTTACCATTTGACCGTACATTATCTGTACATAAATTCTTTATAGATGAGATATTGTATACTGTCTAACCACGTCGCTAAAGCTTATCGCCTCATTTTGGATTTATCCAGTCTGTTGGAGGAATTCATTCGACATTTTCATAGGACGTGGCTTTGAGTTGATGCAATTATCAACGTTCTTATTTCATTTGGGGCACTATGAAAGAGCCAGACCCAAGTCGGGCAGCAAAGGAAAAAAGCACTATCGATTTACAATCTTCCTCCTTATCATTATATACCGTATCTATTTCTTTCTTATTTTCTTCCTAACTTTAAATAGCAACAATAATTCCATAAATGCATTCATGGGCTTAGCTTAGCATGTGAAGATCCACACGATAATAACCTTAGCATGACTATCGTCATGCATCAGGTTACTTCTTAATGCAAATACGTTGTTTGAATCAATTTCTTTGATATACAATAAATCTGCAATTGATTCTTCATATCTGTTCATCAAGCGGCAAGTTTCTCTACGACTTCTAATGCAAATGCATCGTGTGCTTCAACTTCTAACGATTCACTCAAATCTATGACGCGAAAATGACGTGAAATGAAAATGACACGAAAGTGTCATTTTTCTCTCTCTTTTTTTTTTTTTTTTTTTGGTTGTTTGTTATTTAGTATTCTG